AGGCGACAGATGCGCATATCGCAGCCCCCCAGATGGCGCCGCGAGGAGGAGGTAGGAGGCAGGAGGGAGGTGGGCGGGAGGACGGGGCGACCAGAGTGCTCTATTCAAAACGAGTGCCAAACCAAGGGAGGGGGAAACAAATACCCAGGGACGTACCCAACCCTTTGGCAACAAGTGGCATCATCAACTGGCGCTTTCAAAATGGCTGAACATCCGCTGGACGTCCAAGAGGCCCACGAAAGCGACGACCATTGCATTCTTGGCAATCGCCGCGCTTGAGGGTCAAGCGGTGTACTTCGCTCAACGAAGAATCAGCGCCCCGCGCTCCAGAAAGCCGAAAAGACGAGAAGGCCAACATCCTTCAAAAACCATCGTAAAATTCGTGGTTTGGCCTCTCGGGGCCCTCCCATGAAGCCTTTGTGGAGGCCTCTTGGAGCGTCTTGGAAGCCTCTTGGGCCGTCTGGGGCCCACCTTGAACGTCCTGGAACGATCGTACGATCGTTCGGCGTCTCAGGAGCCCACGAAAGTGCCGACAGTTGCGCAGTTGGCAACTCCCCCCGCAGGAAGCCGCGAGGCCCCGACGCGATCCGCGTGTAACCCCACTCCGCTGGGCCTCCCAGGAGCCCACGAAAGGCCGACAGTTGCGCAGTTGGCAGCTCCCCCCGCAGGGAGCCGCGAGGTCCCGACGCGATCCGCGTGTAACCCCACCCCGCTGGGCCTCCCAAGAGCCCACGAAAGTGCCGACAATTGCGCAGTTCGCAGCTCCCCCCGCAGGGAGCCGCGAGGTCCCGACGCGATCCGCGTGTAACCCCACTCCGCTGGGCCTCCCAGGAGCCCACGAAAGTGCTGACAGTTGCGCAGTTAGCAGCTCCCTTCGCAAGGAGCCGCGAGGTCCCGACGCGATCCGCGTGTAACCCCACTCCGCTGGGCCTCCCAGGAGCGCACGAAAGTGCCGACAGTTGCGCAGTTGGCAGTTCCCCTCGCAAGGAACCGCGAGGTCCCGACGCGATCCGCGCGTAACCCCACTCCGCTGGGCCTCCCAGGAGCCCACGAACCAGGAGCCCACGAAAGTGCCGACAGTTGCGCAGTTGGCAGCTCCCCCCGCAGGGAGCCACGAGGTCCCGACGCGATCCGCGTGTAACCCCCACTCCGCTGGGCCCCCCAGGAGCCCACGAGAGTGCCGACAGTTGCGCAAGTTGGCAACTCCCCCCGCAGGGAGCCGCGAGTTCTCGGCGCGATCCGCGTGTAACCCCCACTCCGCTGGGCCCCCCAGGAGCCCACGGAAGTGCCGACAATTGCGCAAGATCGCAGCTCCCCCCGCAGGGAGCCGCGAGTTCTCGGCGCGATCCGCGTGTAACCCCCACTCCGCTGGGCCTCCCAGGAGCCCACGAAAGTGCCGACAGTTGCGCAAGATCGCAGGAGGCGACAGATGCGCATATCGCAGCCCCCCAGAGGGCGCCGCGAGGAGGAGGTAGGAGGCAGGAGGGAAGTGGGCGGGAGGACGGGGCGACCAGAGTGCTCTAGTCAAAACGAATACCCAACCAAAGGAGGGTTGGGAAAAAAGCCACCGAGGCGCTTGTGCGTCACGTAGCTTGCACGTCCACAATGCCATAAATTATCCTTTCAGGTCCTCGCAGGCAACCACCCCAACTATTAATCCTCTGTCCTCAATCCTACTCCACCAGTGGGCTATTCACTGTCCCCGGGTACGTGGCTGAAATGGGGTTCCGCGATAGAACTTGTTGTTGCGTTGTTGTTTGTTGTTGTCGTTGTCCCACTCGCGGCCCACCCGCGATCCACCCGCGAACCGCCCACGACCCACTCGGTACCCACCCGCGACCCACCCGCGAAACACCCACGACCCACCCGCGACCCACCTGCGTTACCCACCCGCGACCCACCCGCGACCCACACCGCGCCCGCCATCTCACTGTTATCCGCGCCCGCCTTCTAACTGTCATCCGCAACTGCGAGGCGCTTATCTTCACTGTTACGGGGATAAACACCCCGCAATTGAGGATAAGAGTGAGGGGGCGGGCGCGGTGCGGGTCGCGGGTGGGTCGCGGGTGGGTCGCGGGTGGGTCGCGAGTGGGTCGCGGGTGTCGGGGGTGGGTCGCGGGTGGATCGCGGGTCGCGAGTGGTTCGTGGGCCGGGTCGCGAGTGGGACGACGACAACAACAAGAACAATCATGGTAAGAGTGTTTGCTCCAATTTGTTCGCGTACCATTCAGCACGTAGATCCCAAACCTCAGTACCCGCCATCATCGTCTTCGACCGTACCCCTTGGGGGTATATCTTCCATCTCTACCACGTGAATTTAGCGCAGCCTCTGAAACAGGGGGAGGACGGATGAAAAGGGCAGGAAAAACGTTTCTGAAGCTGCGCTAAAAGCTGGGCTTCAGAAGCGCCAGAACGAGAGCGCGATTCCTGAGTGTCGAGGGCGCGGCGTCTGAATACATTGTAAGGAAGTCCCACGCGAGAGCGCGAAGATTGCATACATTGTGACGACATCCAGCGCGAGAGCGCGACTTTTAACTACATCGAGAGGAAGACGCAGGCGAGAGCAGCTGTTGCAGTTCGGGGGCCAGGGGCGCAATATGGTGACATCACAGTTTCCCGGATACGAAAACAAGGTGCGAGCCCCAGGAGGGACACTTCAATTTTAAAGTGCAATGCGTATTATTCCGAAGTGAGTACTCAACAACAACAGCACCACCACCACCAACATCAACTTCAACAACAACAATTCCAACAACACGAACAACCATCATTTTGATCCAGTTTGCCCTTTCCTGCTCGCGGACCAGTCAAGACGTATATCCCCAAACCTCGCTCCCTGCAGCGTTCGTTTTCGATCGTACCCCCTTAAAGGTATATCTTTCGTACCTGAAGCGTGTATTTCGTGCAGCCCCTAAGGCAGGAGAAGAAAGGACAGATGGAAAGAAGGGACACGAGGCAGGCGTTGCTGAAGCGTGTGTCCTGCGTGGATCGTGAGAAAGTCTCGAGCGACAGCGTGATTCCCAAATGAATAGTGAGGAAGACTGCAGCGAGAGCGTGAGTCCTGAATGTCGAGGGCGCAGAGTCTGGAAATTTGCAAGGAATTCCCACGCAAGATCGCGATACCTGTATAAATGGAGGGAATCCCACGCAAGAGCGCGAACTGGGAATACATTGTGAGGAAGTATCAGGCTGGAAACGCTGTTGCTGTAAACTGGGGGCCAGGGGCATTTTTGGTGACCCTACATGTTCCCTGGTACTAATAAAAAGGGTGCGAGCACCGGGAGAAGCACTTTGATTAAAACTTATAACGGCTACTGGTGGGAAAATCAACAATACTGGCTCTTCTAAACTGAGAATTCAACTATTGCAACACCAACAACAACAGCAACAACAACGACGATCATTGTAAGACTGTTCGCTCTTATCTGCTCGCGGGCCACTCAACACATATATTCCAAACCCTCGGTGCCCACCCTCCTCGTCTTCGATCGTCCCCCCTGAAGGTATATCTTTCTTACCTGTATCGTGTATCTCGCGCAGCCCATGAAGCAGGAGACGAGAGGACGGATGAAAGGAAGGAACAAGGGGGAGAGAGGAGGACGGAGCACGAGAGTGTACCAGGAGGGGGGCTAGGAGCAGAAAGCACGTGGCAGAACCAGACGGGCAAATCGGGCGGGTCGACCCCTAACGGGCGGGTCGGGAAGGCGGGCTCAGACGGCCAGGTCGAGCAGGCGGGTTGCTCAAGCGAGATTACTGCATGAACCGCGAGGAAGCAACAAGCGATAGCGCGATTCCCGCATAAATCGTGCGGAATTCCACCGCGAGATCGCGATTCCTGTATAAACTGTGAGGAGGTATCGCGCGAGAGCGCGTTATTTAAATACATAACTAGTGAAGAAATATCCGGCGGGAGCCGCTGTTGTTCTAAGTCAGGGGCCCGATCTGAGCCTCAAGATTTTCCCTTATAAAATATGTGCGACCCCTTGGAGGAGCACTTTGATTGACCAGAATTCAATTGTCGCCGGAAGGGAGGATTAACAATAATTTGTATCAGTGCATTAGAACTCAAACAACAACGCAACAACACTTTCCACAGCGGAACCCCACTTCAGAAACGCACCCAGCGACAGTGAATGACCGGTCGGCCCCTTCACTCTGACAACGTGCTCCCCTGAAGGTCTGGACCCCTTCCTGCCTTCCTCGGGACCGGTCCTCCACCCCTGAGAAGCGTCCCCCCGATGCCGAAACCAACGGAAAACCTTATGTCGTGATTCCCGTTCGACGCGAGGGAGCTCGGGGGGGTCAAAAACTGACCACCGGACCTATCCTGGGATGCGTTCGTGCCAGAATCGCAAGAAGGAAATCCTGCCATGGCCAGGAGCGCGTCGAGAGGACCCAAGGGTCGCCCCCGAACCAGGACCCCCGACTTCGTGACTTGTTCAAAACGTCGACCCCCAGAGGTCTGGACCCCTTCCCTGGGACAGTCTTTTCATCCTGAATCGTGGTTTGACGGCTCCGGGGCCCAGTAAGGACCCCTCGAGGCCGAACATGATGAAAAACCTCCGATCGTGATTTTTCCACGACTCGAGGGGGTCTGGGAAAAGACCCAGGCGCCCGAGTGCCGCAGATCTAGAATAAAAAACCACATAAACATATCTGGAACCGCGCGGATTTCTTGGATCCGCGCCGGAACCCCCTCCCTGGCGCGCGGAGCGCGCCGGAGGCGGCGCTGGAGGCGCCGCCAGGGGGGCCCAGCGCGGATCTAAGAAATCCGCGCGGAGCGCCAAAAGTTTATGTTTATGTGGTTTCTTCGTCTTCGAAGATCCTCCCCTGGAGATGATGGGCGCACAATGTATTATCAACAGGCGATGGCAAAGTGTTGCGCTGGCCCGTGGGCCCTTGAGAAACCCAACTGGCACTTGAGCTCCCTCACGACTCGGGTCAACAGGCTACGGAGAGCAACAAAAACGAGATTCGTCGTAACAAATCTGCGTCTGCACCTCCGGAGGGACTCTAAAATTATTGTCGGCTGGCAGCTGGGCGGGGCCTCGGAGGAGGCCCGCCGGAGGGCATCAGGAACACCACCAGCGCCCCGAGGACGGTGGAGAGGCCCGCCAGGAGCGCCATCAAGAGGCCGGGCAGAGACCGCTCCTGAGCTCAGCCGTCGTCGTCGTCGTCGTCGACGACGTCATTGTCGTCGTCGTCTTCGTCGTCTTGAGCTCGTCGTCGTTGCCGTCATTGTCGTCGTCCGTCGTCGTCGTCGTCGTCGTCGTCGTCGCCGCCGCCGCCGCCGCCACCGCTGCCGTCGTCGTCGTCGTCGTCGCCGTCGTCGTCATTTCCCGACCGAGAATATATCGGATCACCCGTCTGGTGATCGGGAGGTCTGGGGAATGGGTACAGCTTCCGGTGTGCGACTGACATATGATCGGATGTGCAAGTTCACGGTGTACGCATCGATCGTGCAATCCCCAGTGCGACCCGAATACGAAAACAAATATCAATATCTCTATCCCTCGACGCCACACTATATTTACATCGGTCTCACTACCAACCTTTCGGTCGACGCGGCACCCGCGGCACAACAGCCCACAGGACAACCTATGGGACAACCGCGGGACAACCCACGGGAGAACCGAAAGGACCACCGGACATCCAGGACGAGTCACCGCGAGACCTGGAGAGACACGTGCCGCATGAGTCGGCCTTGGCCCCGCCAGCACACCGCCGCCCCCTCGCAAATCTCACTTGCCTCGCCCGAGCGCGCGGCACGAAGCGGACCCGAACACCGACCGCCCGGATGGAGTCGCCTCGTCCTCGCCAGCCAGCCTCCGATAAAGAAGCGGGACGGGGGAGGAGCACTGCTTGCTCTGCGCTGCGGTCGGAGCCAGTCGGACGACGAAGGCCCGAGGCGGCGAGGGAGCCCCGAGACCGTGCAGAGGACGGGCCGAGACGACCGAAGGCCCAGCAAAGGATGGAACGGCCACCGTAACGAACGAGGGACTGAAGGGGAGGAGGAGAAGGAGGAGGAGGAGGAGGAGGAGGGATGGAGGAGGAGATGGAGGAGGAGGCGGCGGAGGAGGAGGAGGAGGAGGAGAAGGACGACGACGACGAGAAGGGAGCGGACCACGGCTCCACCTGGAACCGCAGCAACGGGACGATGTGGTCCAGCCTGGCGATTCACCCACCTGGCGGCGCCTCCAGCGCCGCCACTGGCGCGCTCCGCGCGACAGGAACGGGGACTCCAGCGCCGACCCAGACAATCCGAGCGGACCTCCGAAGATGCACGTATGTGTATGATCCGCTACGTGTTCCCTTCTTCGGCACACTGGGAATGGCGAGGATGACGACGAGGAGGGCAGCCGGCCGAAGAAGAGGAACATCGGTAATACTGAGGACAACGGTTATGATGATGATGGTGATGTCGATGGTGGCGGTGGTGACGATGGTGATGCCGATGATTATGATGACGATGGTAGTGGTGCGGATAATGAGGACGATGGTGATGATGATGAAAGTTTGGAAGACGACGATGATGATAGCGATGATGATAATAATGATGCTGGTGGTGATGATGGCGACGATGGCGGTAGTGATGATGATGATGATGATGGTGATGATGACGATGATGATGTATTTGTTCTCCCCGCACACCTTCAGCGATGACAGCGTCGACTCTGCAAGCTCAAGTTGTTGCTTCAACTCGTCGCGCGTTCGGCACGCCTTGTCCAGAGTAACACGATGCTTCCTGCGGGCTTCTCTATTCCCGCGGTTGGCAGCCATGTCAATGGAAACGGCCTCTATGCTCTCGTCTAGCGTGGCCAGTCGTGACCGCAAGGCAACAATGTCGCGAAATAGTAGATTCTCGGCCTCAACAGGATTCGAGATCTCACGACCACCTGAAAGCTCACGACTATCAGGGATCTCACGATCATCAGCGGGAGCAGCCTCGGCAGAGCTAGACGCGGCAAGGCTTGGGAAAACGGGAGCCCCAGACAACTTGCCACAATGCGGCCCTCCAGGGGTCTCGGGCATCACATCATCGTCCTCGCCACCCTCTCCACGCGCCTTCTTGCGAGGCGGCGACCCAGTTGGAGGAACACCAGCACCACAAGCACGTTCAAGGTCAACTCCACGAAGGTCATCTCCACGAAGGTCGCCTCCACGAAGGACGTCTCCTCGAAGGTCGTCTCCACGACGGTCGGCGCCACGAAGGACGTCTCCATGCAGATCTTCTCCACGAGGGTCGTCTCCACGACGGTCGTCTCCAGGAAGGTCGTCTCCACGACAGTCGGCACCAGCACCTCCACGACGGTCGTCTTCGCGAAGACCTTCTCCACGACAGTCGTCACCAGCGCGAAGGTCGTCTCCGCAGACGGCGGCTCCAGAATCGCCACGACAGTCGGCTCCAGCACCTCCACGAAGAACTTCCCAAAGATGGTCGGCACCAGCCCGAAGGTCGTCGTCGCCACGACTCTCGGCACCAGCACCTCCACGACGGTCGTCTCCGGGAAGATCGACTCCACAACGGTCGGCACCAGCACGAAGGTCGACTCCCCGAAGGTCGGCTCCGGCACCTTCACGACGGCCAGCTCCAGCACCTCCACGAAGATCTTTTCCACGACGGTCGGCACCTGCTTCTCCACAGCGGTTTTCTCCATGAAGAGCGTCTCCATGAAGGTCGGCACCAGCGCGAAGGTCGTCACCAAGATTGTCGACTCCAGCACCTCCACGACGGTCAGCCCCATCACTTCCTCGAAGATCTTCACCACGATGGTCGGCACCAGCACCTTCACGAAGATCCAGAACGTCGAGAGCAGCAGGTACCCGATCGGCATGATCGGCACCTCCAGGAAGGCCAGCCCTGGAACATCCATCAGGAGCAGCTTCTCGACCAACATCTCCAGGAAGGTCGGTCACAGCGACGTCTAGATGATCAGCACCGCGCCGCCTAAGGTGAGATTCCGCATCCCTGGTATGATCAGCACCATCACCTCCACGAGGAAGCAAGCCAGGAAACGGCCGCATCACGAAGCTGATATGCGACTCGTCGCGTGAGTTCCGGTGCCCATGATCAACGGCGACGACATTGCCAATGTCGTAAAGCATGTGCTGCAGCAGTGCGATAGCCAGCCCATTGCGGACACGCCCATCAGCAAGGGGGAGGAGGCACACCTGCACCACAATCTCGTCTACGTGGCTGTGCAACTTCATCGTCGCTCGGCGCCCGCTGAGAAGTTGGAGGACGGTCCACTCGATCCGCGCAGCCGTGACCATGAGAAAGACAAAAGCGAGCGAACACAGCAGGGCACGCAAATGCGAGCAATTGGCCACACCTCGGGCAAACGCCTGAGCCAACGTGGCTATGATGATGATGATGATGATTACGATGATTACGATGATTATGATGATTCTGACGACGACAACGGCGATACGCACGATGATGATGGTCATCATCACGATGTTGGTGATGATGCTGATGGCCTGGTGGTGGCGATGGTGATACTGATTGTGACGATGGCGCTGGCGATGGTGACTGCTGTTGCTTCTGGTAATGATGAAGCTGGTGAAGATAAGGATGATGCTGATTAGTATCATGAGGACAATACTGCTGATGAACATACTGCTGATGATGGTGTTGATGAAGATGATACTTACGATTAGGATGGTAATGATGTTTACGAACGATTATGATTGTGATCATCATGGTGATTATGATGATGTTGATGACGGTGCTGAAGATGAATATGAGGCAGGTGACGGGAAAGATGTTGATGATGATGAAGTTGATGATGGTGGTGATAAGGAAGAGGATGATGCTGATACTGACGACGACGATGATAATGATGCTGATGAGGATGGTGACAATGATGACGGTGATGATGATGATGTTGATGATGATGAGGAGGATGAGGATGAGGATGAGGATGAGGATGAGGATGAGGATGAGGATGATGATGATGATGATGATGATGATGATGATGATGATGATGGTGATGATACTGAAGCTGATGCTGATGCTGATGCTGATGCTGATGACGATGATGCTGATGATGCGTATGTTTGCCACCACTCCAGGGCGAGTCCGAGGGCACGGAGCGGGTGTGCGGCAGCCTACTGGCCCATCGTGTGTCCAGGACCCTGGGGCGCTGCACGGCGCCGACCCCGCGGGGCGCTCGTGGCCCAGCGCTCGAGCCTCGACCCGCGGGACGAGCGCCTCGGCGAGGCTGGCGAGGCTGCGGGCATGGCCCAACACGCGGCACGGCAGTGGTTGAGGTGGGGCAGGAGGAGGGCCCCGACCAAGCCCCCAGCATGTCGTGGCAGACAGATGGCGCTGGAAAAGGTGTCTTTGTGTAGCATGTTCTGGCTCCGGGGGGGGCCTCTGCCGGGCCCCGGGAGCATCAACACACTTACTCGGGCTTAAAAGCCAGTCCCAGAGAAGAGGTCGAGACCTTGAAAGGGGCCCACGTTCTGAAAACATATCCTGACGTCGGGGCACTCGAGACGAGGAGGAGACTGGGCAGGAAGAGCAGAAAGAGAAGGAGCAGGGAGGCACGCGAGCAGGAGGCAGAGGGTCCCGCACGCGCACACCTGGGCGGACTCGGCGCCCGCCGCATCCTCCTCCGCCTCCTCCTGCTCCCCCGCCGCCTCCTCGCCTCCTCCCTTCCTCCTGGTGCTCCTGCTCCTTCTCCTCCTCCCACTGCTGCTCCTTGCCCCCGTCCTCCTGTTCTAGAGGGCAGAGAATCCACCCCCAGAATGATCACCCCGACACGCGAAGCCGTTTGGCAAACGCACCCCACGAAGGCATCAAACAGGGCAGGGCTGTTCAGAAAACGCCCAGGGCCCTTCTTAGTAAACGCTGACTGTCGGGCCCGGGTGGCTGTTCCTCCCTTGCTGTTCCGCATCCTCCTCGTCATCCTCGGCCTCCTCGGCTCCTCCCTTCCTCCTGGTGCTCCTGTTCCTTCTCATCCTCCCACTCCTGCTCCCTGCCCCCCTCCTCCTGCACCGTATCCTCCTCGTCCTCCTCCCTCCACCAACCCCCCCCCGTTCGAGCCTCCGGCCCAGAACAACTCCGAAGGGGAGGCCCCGACGCGCCACACGCCCAGCCCGCCCGACTGACACGGCGGCTGGTGGTCACACGGGAAGGGGGTTACCTTTTAGGTCGGGCCTGTCCCACTTCAGGGGGAGTTTGGGCGAAACGTCGAGGTTACTCCAAAATTACACCCTGAAAAAATCATACAATACTCCAAACATTCTCCCCCGACTATCTTTGGACTATTTTGGAATACTCCTCCTGTGGAGGGACAGGCCCGACTCAAGGTTAGCTGCAAGGACACGGGATGGAGGCGGAGCAGGAGCAGCAGGCAGGCAGGCTGGAGAGCGCCTGCTGACGCAGCGGGCGCTTGGTGCAAGGGGCGAGGATCCCCCCTACAGGGGAAGTTTTGGCGAAAATTAAGGACACCCCCCAAAAAGCACCAAACATTGTCAAAAATGGTCCAGACTATTACCTGAATATTTTTGAACTGCCGCCTGAGGGATCGACGATCGGTGACCTCGGCAAGCGTCATGCCCTGCAAGCGGATGGCCTGTCGCTCCGCTCCGCAGGGCGGGAGGCTGGGGCAAGCTCGTGACATTGATGCTGGTGGGCGGGGAACTGGTCAGTGTGTCGCGCCGAAGCGTGTTGGCCCAGAACCGAAGGCGCGACGCGCTGGCCCAAGAGTTCCCATATATCAATGTCCGCCGCCTGCCGGAGAACGTCCCAAAGGATCGCTCTATGGATAACTCCCCGCCTCGAACGGATGACGATGATAACAATGATGATGATGTTGATGATGGTGGTGCTGCGGACGATGCTGGTGCTGATGCTGCTGTTACTGACCCCGATGCTGCTGACGCTGATGCTGATGCTGCTGCTGATGCTCATGATGATGGTGATGCCGCTGTTGGTAATGAGGCTGATGAAACTGCGAATGGTGATGCCGATGCTGACGCTGATGCTGATAAGGATGCTGATGCTGATGCTGATGCTGATCATGCTGATGAGGATGATGATTGTTATGATGATGATGATGATGATGATGATGATGATGATGATGATGCTGATGATGATGATGATGGTAAAGATGATGATAATACTGGTGACAAAGGTGGTGGTGGATGGTGATGGTGACGATGACGACTAAGATGGTGATTGTGATGATGGTACTGATACTGCTGAACATTGTGACATTGCTAATGATGAGTATGATGATGACGATGATGCTGCTGATCATGATGACGCTGATGATGATGATGATAATGATGATGATGACGATGCTGGTGCTGCTGATGGTAGTGGTGATGATGATGATGGCGGTGGCGATGGTGGTGGCGATGATGATGCTGATGCTGCTGATCGTGCAGTTGATGATGATGATGATGTCGATGCTGCTCCTGCTCATGGTATGATGATGCGGTTGGACGATCATGAGATGATGGTGATGTTGATGATGATGCTGATGATGCTGATGATGATGGTGATGGTGATGGTGATGATGACGATGACGATGATGATGCTGATGATGATGAATGTCCCTGCTGCTAAACATGATGATGACGATGATGCTGGCGATGGAGATGCTGATGATAATGATGAGGATGCGGAGAATGAGGATGCTAATGATGACGATGATTATTAAGAGGATGAAACATCATTATCAACTCATTGATGGTGATAAATCACCATCGTCAATGAGTTGAAGAACCCAGAACCATCATACTGTTTAATCATGAACGTCATCACCATTGGTGATGATGCTGATGGCGATGACGATGACGTTGAGGATGGTTAGGAAGATCATGATGTTGTTGATGATGGTGCTGATGGTGATGATGATGAGGATGCTGCTGCTGATGATGATGATGACGATGGGAATGAAGGAGCCCAGGGACACCCACACACATAAATGCACACAACTTCAGACAAACAAACAATGCTGCCCCGAGATCCCCCATCTTCCTCCGTCGTCTCTGGGTTCTCGTCCTCTCCCTCCACTTCCCAAATGCACTAGAGCTGCCTTGCAGTCGACGGCCCTTTGTGTTAGGTCGGGCCTGTTCCCCTACATGGGGATTGTGGGCGAAAAAAATGAAAGTATTCCAACAAACTTGAAACCATCAACAATAGTCCAACAACAAATCCCCGGACTAGTTTTTTCAACTATTCTCAAATATACGCCCGACTCAAGGTCAGCTGCAAGGAAACGGGATGGAGGATAAGGAGCAGGAGCAGCAGGCAGGCAGGCAGGCTGGAGCGCGCCTGCTGACGCAGCGGGGGCGGGCTCGGTGCAGAGGGGCTCCCTGGCAATCGACGACCCTTTGTGTTTGCGTGGCTCTTCCTTCCTGGAGAAATGATGGGCCTGTTTTCCACCACCACCACCACCAAAAGTAGGAGGGGGAGGGGGTCATCATCCTCCTCCTCTTCCTCTTCCTCCTCCTCCTCCTCCTCCTCCTCCTCTTCCTCCGCCTCCTCCTCCTCCTCCTCCTCCTCCTCCCCCTCCTCCTCCTCCTCCTCCTCCTCCTCCTCCTCTTCTTGCTCCTCCTCCTCCTCCCCGCCCATCAGGAAAGGTCCCCGCCTTTGGCGGCGGACCCCCCGCGCGCGCGGGGCGCAGAGAGAGGTGTCACCGGCAGTAGACCTCGGAGCCCACGACCCGGACCTCGAGCGCCTCCGCGCGGCCCCCCGGCGACTCTGGCCGGCCGCCCACGCCGAGGGGCCCAGGCCTCCGGCGGCTCTCCGAGCACGGGCCTCCTCGACGGATCTCTCCTCCTCCTCCTCCGCCTCCTCCGCCTCCTCGTCCTCCTCCTCCTCCGCCTCCGCCTCCTCATCCTCCTCCGCCTCTTCCGCCTCCTCCGCCTCCTCCTCCTT